GAAAATATAAAGGATTTATTTTATAATATTTAAAAAAATAAAATAAATAAATAAATAAATAAATAAAATAAAAAAATAAATAATTAAATAAAAAAAAAAAAAAAAAAAGAAGAGAAAGAAACAAAAAGAATAAAAGAAAAGAGTAATGATTTTGAATTTTTATTTAACATTAAAAAAGAGAATGAAATTAGTCGATTAAAATGACGTATAAATGTTAAGTATGAGTATAAAAATATAGTGCGCAACCAATGGTAAATACAATGAATTAAATTAAATGTCATTGCTATGAAAAAAATTGGTTTGTATATTTTTTTGCTATCGATTGTATCGATTATTATTATTATTATTATTATTATTATTATTATTATTATTATTATTATTATTATTATTATTATTATTATTATTATTATTATTAATATTATTATTATTATTATATAAATGTTAAACTAAATATAAATAATTATGCAGAATAAGATGATTCATGTCAAGTGCGTAATTATATAAAAGTATCAAAATCATATAATAATTACATAAAAACAATCATTTAGACAAACAGAACGAACAACGTAAAACTTACTGTGCAGCAATTTTATAAACAATTTTCCTTCGAAGTCTATACTTTTACACATCTTATTTGTCATTCTTGGAACATTCTTACGGAAAAGGTCGCCGGAATTTCAAGTAGATTAAAAATATTTCAAAGATTCTTTAATTTGTTATAACGATTAATAATTGTTTCATTATTTACTTTAGGAGTACTATACAACGCAACGATATTTCATACTAATAAAAGTAAACGGTAGCGACTGTCTTTCATTTTGAAAGTAACTAATTAAGCGAATTAAGTAGAATTTGCTGGCACTTCAAGATATTATTTTTAAATAATTGGCCCAAATGAATGACGATAATAATAGAATAGTCGAAGAAGAAAAAAATGCTTATAAGCAAAACGTAATTTTTATATAATTTCGCATCGATTGAGCAAGTGCGAACGAACAGTTTGTCGATGTCAGGCAAATAGTCCATTAATGTCCATTGAGTGAGAAATAATGCATAAATAATGATGAAAAACAACGAATTATTATTTGTCATAAAGACATAGAGTTATAACCGAGATTATTCATCAACGTAGAGTTAAAGAAGCAGCAAATGAATGGTAGAAGAAAAAAACAAAAGAGAAGAAAGAAAAGAGTGCGTATATAGTGGTAGGGATTCATAAAGTTTGCCTTTAAGCATGAAACTCACTCTATAGTAATTACCCAGACCGAGTAGCTAATGCCTAAGGCTGTGCACTCGGTGGCTGAGGTACCTGCCAGGATATAAGCGCCGGGGCTGACGATGTAGGCATCGCCCGCCGAGCCTCAACACTCGACGCTTCAATCACTTCATTATGAGACGATGAGACGACGTCATTACCCCTGCCCTCTCTAATATGCAAATATGCAAAATATTTCAAACTGCTGGCAACATGACGTATAGTACAGCTTTGTTTAATCTTCTTATCATTATCATTATCCCCATATATATATATATATATATATATATATATATATATATATATTTATTCCGGGCAATATTTTGAATGCGAGACAAGAGTGGCATTAAGATACGAGCTGATAAGACGAGAGGGATAAGCGAACAACTATTTATGATTTTTGATAGCAGTGCGTAATGTTTATTTATTGATTGAAGATGAAATGTTGTATGATCGACGTGAAAATTTGAAAATACAAGGCTATTGGGAATAAGATATTCAAATGATATATTTGAAGATACGTCATATATTTTATTGTAAACAATAATAAATTATACTATTATCTGTATCATCGATATAATTTATTACATTAATCTACAAACTCTAATAAAGTTTTATTAGATATCTATGCTTTTAATCTAGTCAGATAACTTATATTTTTCAATTTTGTATACGCAAACTATTCTTTCTTTATTTTATACTTATGTAACTTTTGTTTTGTTTTGTTCTTTTGTTCTTTTTCTTTTTATATAACACATCTTGTTAGAAATATTATGATTAGACGACACTGTGAAAATATAATTTAATAATTTTCTTATAATCATTATAACGACTATTTTATTTTTCCGTACGATTAGTAATGAGAAATTAAAATTTATAATAATGTTTAAATTGATAATACGTTAATATTACTTAATACACCGTTCAGATAATTAATTTATATATATATATATATATATATATATATATATGATGATGAGAAGCGCAAAATTGAAAGAAAAGTATAAGTTTAAGATTATTTTTATCTAAATAATATCAGATTGTTATTTGAAGTTACCGAGACTTGGCAGTAGATAAAAGTTTCATTAAATGTACGGAAGAAAATTGTGAAAACGACATATAAATTTATATTGGAAAATCGTAGTTATTAAAATTTTGACCAATTATTTGTAATATTGTATTTTTTGTAGTAATGCTCGAAGAGAGTTGTTTTATCGATCATCTCTAGATATATCAAATCATATATCTTATTCGAGGCGCAATGTTAAGAATCTTATATAAATTAGAAATTTTAACACCTCGTATATATTAAAATTCCCATGTGAAGACTGTCGTTAATGTGTGGAAAATCATATTACGTACACTCATATTTTTTTTTATATGTAACGCAATGCATGGAATAATGGAAAAAGTTAGATTTTCCGGGACTAAAGCTTTCTCTTTGAAAAAGCAAAATCGGATAAATCGGCGTCCGCAAAGTGTGAAGTCGCTCGCGTTGCAGAAGAAAGGGGCGGAATTGTGCCAAAGGGGGATGGGATTCAAACTCGTTGAAGCGTGGCTTAAGATAAACCCTTCTTCCATTTCTTGCTACGCCGACTCTTCGTATTCTCCTCTCTTCTTCTTACTCGCCGTCTCACTATAACTTTGATTGATACGCGCAAAATGTGAAATTATCATTTATGCCCGCCATGAAAATCCGTATGCTAAGGATCCCCGTGTCTCGACGTACTTGGAAATTAATTTTCCAATTATCATATCAATATTAATAGAAAGCGATGATAATAGTTGAATAATTCATTCTGGCAACAATTTATCGCCCATCGTTAAATGTGGCTATTGAATTTTGAAAATTAGAACAATGGTAAGCGTTGAAAGCTTGGAACTTTCTTGTAACTATAATGATTTATGTAACGTTTTCATTGTACTTTCTAATTGCTTAAGAGGAGATATCGATCGATGCCTACCTAACCTTAGATAATTAATGTTTGGATTAAATTAAATATCATAATTATACAGAATGAAAAATGCCGGAAAAAAAAAAAAAAAAAAAAATTGTCTTTACAGCAAGGACGGCTGGGTAAGGTGGGATTAATTTGTTTGGCGCACAACGTATTTTGTATACGCTGCTTACTAAATTTCATGCAATAAAAGGCGGAACTTAGAAAGCGATGCAATTTCGATTAGAATTTATACCTAATCGATCTTCGAAATGACGCATTTTCGTAACGACAAAGGAGGCAGGCAGTTAGTTCATACGGCTCGTGACGCGTAAACATCGATTCTATGCAGCAGTCCTCATCTTGCCCATTGGTCTTTAATTTCACGCTAGAGAATGCGCAGAGGCTCGCTGCTGAATTTATAGTTATTCCCTTTTATCTTCCTCTTTCTATCTTTGCGCTTCCAGTATTTCGTTCCCTCTCTGTTCTTAGCTTCCCGCAACTCTCCTCTCGATCCTCTTTTTCCTTAGTTATGATGCCCTCTCTTCTGCTTAATTACTTCATTTTTATCCTTAGCCCTTTCTTCTTTATTTTCCATTCTTTTCTCTCTCTCTCTCTCTCTCTCGATTTTTTCTTTCGTTTTCTATTATTTTCCTTTCATTCTTTTCCCTTATTTTCATTTTCCTGTATTTTTCATCTCTTTTCTTGTATTACGAGTAGAAATTATGCATTTGTCAAGCATGAAAAATTAATATATGCTCAAATTTATCATCTGATTTGAATTTATGTTAATCAACTCGAAGTTTTCGTAACATTTTTTTTTTTTTTTTTTTTTTTTTTTTTTTTTTTTCAAACAAACTGCAAGGTAGAGCTACCACAATCGAATTGAAACTTTTTTCTTTTACATCACATACGATATAAATATTTGAGTGCAAAGTGTAGAAACGTCGAAACAAATAGCGTTTTTCGCCGTTCACATTCATACCTTTTAATCGAAAACCAGGTAGTCTTTTAATTTTTTGCAATTGTAAAAAAATACATTTCCATTATATTATGTTGAAAAAAAAAAAAGATTTCATTCCATGCTTGACTCCTTCTCGAACAGTTATTCGCAACATTAGTTCCCCTGAAAAGAAAAAGAAATGAAAAAAAAAGTAACGCAAAGAAAAAGGATGCACATTTCGTTAAATTCAACAGACATCAATGAATATTTATCACATCATTAACAGATTATTATAATTTATCATAAAATATGGTAAGTGATACAGACATAACGTATTCATTAAAATGTTACAATTGTAAATTCAACAAATTCTTTCGGTGATACAAATCTATAATACATGAATTAGTAATTCTATTTGAATTGATAATACAGTTGCAAATATTATGCGTAACAATTTTTTAATTGCACCAATACTTTTACAATCTATTTAAGCTTTTACAATTACATATATATATATATATATATATATATATATATATATATATATATATATGTATGTATGTATTAATATACGGAGAAGAGAGTTATCGCTTGGTCTTTGTGGAAAATATATGTCCATGAAAAATAATACGCGTACCATATGCGCTTGCAACATAATCAATTCATTCATGGTGTGCACACCTTGATAAAAGTGCCACATTTACACGTCACGCGCCAACAATTTACAATGAAATTGAAATTCATGACGCTGGTTGTTGCAGGTTGACAAGCCGGATTGTCGAGGAGGAGGTCGCCACCGCCACCGACACCGACACCGACACCGACACCGCCACCGCCATCGCCACCGCCACCGTCACCTTCACCGTCACCATCACTGCCGCACTACCAGCCAGGAAGGAGCCTCTCCCTTACTAGGATCCCGATATCTCGCGAGCAGCCGACACCTCGCCGTATTTCCTCGCCTTTCCCGACTATCTGTCTCCCCGGGCCATTCAGCCGACGCCAGTCCCGGAGCATCGGCGCGCGGATATATATCAAGCAGTTATTGCGGATGGTACGAGCACTCATAATTTCCCCGAGTTTGTTTTGCTTCTGCGCTCGGGGAGGCGAGCAGCAAACAAAGCAGCCGAAAGATACCCGGAGAATATGTGAAACGGCCAATGAGAGACAATTGATGCGTGGGAGAGCAGAAGAGGAATGCCAGTGAGAGCATGGAGAGACACGGGGGAAGTAGCCTGCCCTGCATGTAGGTGTCCAGGTACGACTAGGACCCGAGTGTGGCCTTCCTTTATGTGAATGCTCAAGCGATAATCGAGGCAAAGTTTCGCAGGCGACGGGGCAACGTTTGGCAAGGAAAAAAGCCGAGTGATAGGATTCCTCGCTCTTTCTCTCAACCTATCTCAAGTTGCTAATGTCTTTTAGTTCTCTAATCATGCCCCCCCCCCCTCATCCACACCTCCACCCAACCCCACATACATTGCGTTCCATTACGTGCTGTTGTAGGTATGTGTAGGATATTACGTATGGAGGATTGTCGTTGGCATTGCCATTTGCTCGACCCGACTTTTCCTATACGAGGATGCGTTTGTCAGCCCGAGAGCGGCGAGCCTTAAACTTTCTTTAGGGATCACTCGTCTAGATTGTATTCTCTCTATACTATATATTATTCGCTTGATATATATGGACGTCGTGACTTCATTCGAAAAATTGAACATTTTACTTGCGATGCGTGCGAGTTCGGGATTATTTATTATTTTTCTTTCGGTGCATGCACTGTGAAATTTTGGTTCGTTCTTCCTACCGACGAACAACCATTCCTTCACCTCTACGAATTTATTGTCTATAACCGTGAATGAGTCATAATATTGGTAATGCCATTACTTCGTTCAATTAATTACGAACTTTTAACATGATATTATTTAACACGGATTATATAATCGACATTGGAATATCATTATCTCATTACCTCGTATTTTTAATTTCATATATCTATAAATAGAGCTTATGAGACTTTAATCGAAGCGCATCGAATTATTTCATAGCTAATACTCTTATTTCATAAACATAAATATATTTCATATATATATATATATATATATATATATATATATATATATAATTCAATCTTCCGTCACTGAAATTGACGCGCTTGTCAATTAACGTTGACAATTAAAATTCTTCAAGGATGCAAATACTAGCTTGGCTTTTAAAAAGTCAAAATCACTTTTATAAGATACTCTTATAATCTTATTCTATAAGATACTTTTATACGATACATTAAATAAAAGCATTAATTTCCATGACCTTCTAAAACGATGAAAAATGTTTATGACATTTATCAAAGATTATTTTCAACTATTATTTTCAAATACATTATAATAATAGTACATTAAGCTTTAATATTTTATAAACGTTAATAAATCAGTTTTTTGTATTTTCATGTAATTTTTAATTATTACAATTATTTTTTCATTATACTTTACATCATCGTATAATATGCAATTAATTTTTAAATCCTACTCGGATATTTTCATCGATAAAAATTATTATCCTGTAAGAATAGAGTTCATTTTCTTAAATGAAGAAAAAAAAAGACCATTAAGTATAGTGAGCTTACCAAGTGAGTACGATAATAAGAAAAATCTTCCCTTAATATATTTGTCTTATTATGACACTTATTAATTTCTAATTTTAATTTTATGTTCTATTAATATATCAATTGTTATTCACTTTATTAATTAATGTTAATAAAAAGTTTGGGTAATTCAAATAACTTAAGAATATACAATCTACACTATCTTATAAAATGAAGAATTGTTCGTAGATTCATTGCAAATCGGCTTCTTATTTATAAAACTGACGTGGATGTGAAATAAATAGTACCTTGTTAGTATACGTTAATAAAATCAATAGAATGAAAGTTGCTTTATAAATATTTCTCTAATTTATTGAGAAAATTTGATCTCATTCATACTATTGTTAATTTTCGAAAAATTAGAAAATTATTCGTTAAATCTTGAATTTTTAAATTATAATCTTAATGCCTATTTTATTCAACTTTTTCTATATGAATGGAGATTATTTAATCGCCGTTAATATAGAGGATATGAAAAGTCGAGCTAATACAATAAAACTGCACGCACACTTACAAAAATAAAGCTCGATATTTATATAATTTCTATAAAATGCTAGAATCGTTTGTGGTGAAAGTATTGTTTTTTTTTTTGTTTTTTTTTCTTGTTTTTTTTTTTCTTGTTTTTTTTTTTTTTTTTTTTATTAATCTGATGCGTTACGATTTTATGCGAATTATAATAGAAATAATAAAAATTTCTTTGAAAATGTTAAGCTAAATTTTCCGATTTGTTAATTGAAGTAAAACAATTTTATTCCATTAATGATTAATTAAAAACAAATATATTATATTAATAATATTTGGTAATGCGTTAGAGAAATTACAATTATGCACTTTGTAAGTTTAGTATGATAATATAATTTTTAACTTAAATACAATTATCTTTTAATCGTATAAGTTTGTTTCTTAATCGCGAATAAAAAGAAAAAAGAAGAAAAGAAAATTTTTACAAACATTGCGTACAGTAATGCTGTAATTTTTTATAAAAAAAAATACATTGGTCTTTTAAATAAAGTGGGCTATGTGCGAGAAAGTAATTTTATGAATAATACATAAAATCGAATACATGATCGAAATACATAGCAGTCGATTCTAATGCAATCATTACATGTACGCGTCAAGCTATTAGGAGAATTTCATATATTAAAATTAATTATAGAACGATATGTATTCAATAGAAATATCTTATTTTTGAATAAATAATCCATTATTTCATTTTAAAAATACCCTTTCGTCATTCGTATAAATGAGGGATAGCTGAATCATTAGATGTAAAATGTTATATTTGTCAGGATGTTAATATTATAAGGCTCATAGAATAAGAATTTTCAGCTCGTATAAAAATATATAATTGATAAGCTTAATCGAGGATAAATTTTTAATGAAATTATTGTTAACTACGGTGAGAAGTTTTTATAGATTTCGAGTGACGCAGTAAAGCGCTCTCAATGAAAGCAACTAGACTACTCCAATCAATTATAATTCGATCGTTCAATTTCCCATTATTAAACATATTAAAATTATAAGTACTTAAAGCATATAAATGTAAATTATCATGATCATCAAATGTATGGATGCGGTAAATCCCTATGCAGTCCAGCCGGTGAATAATTAATTGCCGATTACGCAATAACGTATCAAGGTTGAATTAGCCAATCAGTCGACATCCGCTTCTATAATTAAGGGAGCCAACAACATTTTTGAACAAACTGCAACGAAGGTAGATCGGTGTAAAAGTACGCTTTCCGGAATAACAAAGGCCGAACGAAGCGTAGGTAAGGCTTTCGTTGGAAAAAAGAAAAAAGATAAAAGAAAAAAGATGAATGAAGTGGAGAAAAAAGAGGACGGTTCCGCAAGCATGATGCGTATTGATCGCTTTCAAGGAACGAAGCAACGGTACGCGAGCCGATTTCGCGAAAAAGCTAATGAATATCGAACGAGTCCGCTGAAAAGCGCTCCGCTCGCCTGCCACTTCATTACGTCAGAGTGCCGAGAGAATCCATGGGAAATGCAATCGAAAATCTCGGGGTGCCTTCGGCTCTCCCTCCATCGGCCACATTGGCAATTAAGAGCCAGATTGAGCGACGAGACGCAAAAAGCGCCAAACCTCTCCTCGTTCTCGCTCTCTTGGCCTGCAAGATGAACATGCAAAGGATTTCCTCCAAATAAAAAGGCGTTGGAATCGTAATTAACTCGGCACATTACACTGATTTCTCTCGAAAACTACAAAGATGAATAATCTGTTGGCTAGTTAAATGGCTAATTAAATATTGAATAATAATAATAAGTACTACGATCTCTCTATTATAGATTGAACGGATAGAGACACAGAGAGAGAGAGAGAGAGAGAGAGAGAGAGAGAGAGAGAGAGAGAGACAGACAGACAGGTAGAGAGGGGGAGGATGTAATACAAATTCTTCTGTCGCGGCATTGGCGACACGTATGTCTTGCGAAAGAAATATTTTCTGAGCAATCAATCAATATTCAACGCGCATGTTAATCGACGATTAATAGAGTGAGGGAGGGAGGGTTGAGGGAACGATATCGGACTCGTTTCACGAGATGCTTCCTATGGACGCATATCCTCGCTTTGGACGCAGCGCACCGCGTCGATCGCTTTTTCACGAGGTTTTGTAATTGATCGAGCGGGGCTTCTAGTTCGTATGCTGCGCTCGTCCCTGGCCAAAGGAGCTTATAAGTAACGCTGTAATGACGTAGCCTGTCATGCCGAGAAACTGTTCCTCACCAGCCTCCCCTCCCTCACCCCCTCCACCGATCCCAACCGCCCAACCACCCAACCACTATCCCTCCTTCTTCCGCAGCGAGTTGCCGACTTACACTGACAGCCCTTCTTCTTTCTCACTCCCCGTTTTGTCCCTGCCTTTCTTTCCTGCGCTCCTACATCCTCACCCGATTACTCAACTTCTTTGTCTTTATTATGTATTTTGCAATTCAACGCTCTTGGCATTATTGGAATTTGCTTGCGTGAACGACTACTGCTATAGATAATAATTTAACGTTTATTTTTATATTATTTATGATAGCTCGCGAGCAAGATATTAAGATATCTAATAAGAAAGATTATCTCTATTAGTGCAACCACCGTTGGCAAAATTCATTTCCTCCTTCCTCATTAACATCAATACCATAATATTGACACGATGTTTGGTCTAAACATTACCTTTAAAATCTTTTCTCCTACTTGCTTCTAAAATCCAATAATATTGATAATTAGTCTTTTACTTTTAAAATTTTGCAATATATATATATATATATATATAGATAGATAGATGGATGGATGGATGGATGGATGGATGGATGGATGGATGGATGGATGGATGGATGGATGGATGGATGGATGGATGGATGGATGGATGGATGGATGGATGGATGGATGGATGGATGGATGGATGGATGGATGGATGGATGGATGGATGGATGGATGGATGGATGGATGGATGGATGGATGGATGGATGGATGGATGGATGGATGGATGGATGGATGGATGGATGGATGGATGGATGGATGGATGGATGGATGGATGGATGGATGGATGGATGGATGGATGGATGGATGGATGGATGGATGGATGGATGGATGGATGGATGGATGGATGGATGGATGG